TGCATTGCGCAGGAAACTAGATTTGCCCGATTTGCCCAAGCAAAACTCATTTCCGACTCAGTTCGAATTCACGAAACTAAGCACTCAGAACTCACGCATAACGAAGTCACCCTGGTGATGTGAGTTAGATCAGCCAATAAGTGAGCACCACTATCGTATTCACTGAGTTTCTTCATGAGTTATTACTGAGTAATGCCTGGCCTGAGTAAAAAATTTTTCAGTGAGGATGGCATATGTGTGTTAATGTATAAGAAATGGGTGATTTAGAATGCGTCGCGCGCGCGAGAGAGAGAATCGCACGAGAGAGAGTCGTGCGAGAGAGTCGCGCGAGACAGAGTCGCGCGTGACAGAGGGTCGCGCGAGACAGAGTCGCGCGAGAAAGAGAGAGAGAGAGAGAGTCGCACGAGAGAGTCGTGCGACAGAGTCGCGCGAGAAAGAGAGAGAGAGAGAGAGAGTCGCACGAGAGAGTCGTGCGAGAGAGTCGCGCGAGAAAGAGAGAAGAGAGAGTCGCACGAGAGAGTCGTGCGAGACAGAGTCGCGCGAGAAAAGAGAGAGAGAGAGAGTCGTGCGATGAAGCGCCCGAGAGCGCCGGTCGGCACGCGAGGGGTGGACCGCCGCCGCGCCGTGGGTCGTGGGGAGGGACGGGCTGGGGAGGGCAAGGCAGGCGTTTGATTGTGTTTGTCCGGGCACTGGGGAGGGATGGGTCTCGGGCTGGGGAGGAATGTGTTTGCGCGGGTGTGGGACGGGGACAATGACCGGGGTTTGGGAGTATGACCGGGGGAGGGAGTTTAAATGACGAGGGAGAGAGACGACGGACGATGCGGCGGAGGAAAGGAGACGTGACGGAATAAGGGAGCGATCAGATGACAGCAAACGACTGAGCGAGCGAGCGCATGGAAATGTTGGCCCCGAACACATGACCGAGCAAGTGCCAGTCAGGCGCGGAATACCCTATCCGCTGAACATCAAGGTCCGAGGATCACGACGCATTTGCTCAAATCACGTGTTCGCGGCCAATTACTGAGGTATGTTTGGGGCGCACGCGGGAAAAGGGTTATGGACTTGGTGAGGAGGAGGATGACGGATTGTGAGTGAAAGAGCAGGGTCTGAGACTGATATTGAGACTGAGACAAGACAGAGACGGAGACAAAGACAGAGACAGAGACGAAGGCTGAACAGAGAGAGTGAGAGAGAGAGAGAGTAAGCGATAGAGAATAGAGAGACAGAGAGAGAGAGAGAGGGAGAGAGAGAGAGAGGGGAGAGAGAGAGAGAGAGAGAGAGAGAAACAGACGAATGAGAGCGGGGAGTGCATGGATGTGTGAGACCACCAGCTAACGTGAGTGGTGGATGTCGGCCCGGTTTTGGGTTAGGCATGCTGTATTACAACTGTGGTTAGACTAGTTTCTACATGGTGGTGGACTGGTTCGAGGTTTCGCTGTCATTAATAAAAATCCACATTCCCATTCAAAATTATCGAACGGTCACAACCTTTCCCCATAGTGAATGCTGTAACAGATGAAGCGTAATAAGGTAACTACATTTAGTCAGATTTCATGTGAACCGAGGCTGCAAGTGTTAATGATTCAGAAAAATGTATGCCGCAGAGTGTCGCGATGTGTATGTGTGTTATGTACGGGCCGGAATGATTGAGGGGAGGGAAAGCCCCTGCTCTCCCACAGGCATGTCGCCCGGTCCGCCGCCGCCGACCAGGAGCCAGCGGCGACCAAGACCTCGGCCGTACGGGCCGGGCGACGGCGGTGATCCGTTCTCCAACTCGCCGCACCGTACGCCAGCCGCCCCGCCGCTCCCGGCGGCGACTGCCGCAGCAAGTCGGGGGCGGTGGGCGCGCGGCCGCCGACCCCGCCGCTCCAGCCGTCTGCCCGGCTGCCCGGAAGCCGCGGCGCCCAAGAGCCGCGGTGGTACGGGCGGCTGCGCTCGGCTGCCGACCCCGCCGCTCCAGCCGTCTGCGCGCTGCCCGGAAGCCGCGGCACTCAAGAGCCGCGGCGGTACGGGCGGCTGCGCGCGGCCGCCGACCTCGCCGTTCCGGCCGTTCACCTCGCCTCCCGGTCCGCCGCAGCATTCAAGAGCCGCGGCGGGAGGACGAAGCTCTACCGCCCATCTCGCTGCCCAAAATGCCCGCTGCCCCGCGCCGATCCCGCGGCTACTACTGCCGCGCCAGCTCGGGGCGGCGGCACTCGCCCACGGACCTCCGCCCGCCCGCCTCCAGCGACGATAACGCCCGCGGCAGGACGGGAGCGGCGCTCATACGGCCATCAGGCCGCGCGATCCGCCAGCCGTCCCGTTCAGCCCCCGGCAGTACGGCGGGCGGCGGAGCTCGGCCCGTCTCACCACCGCGCCGGTCAGCAGCCTGCGGCCGCCCCACTGGAAACCGCGGTGCCAATGGCCGCGGCGGTACAGTGTGTGACGGCGGCCGGGCCGGCCGACCTGACGGCCCCGCCGGCTCTGCACGGGCTGGGATACAGCCGAACCAACCTGTCGACAGCCGCCCGATCCAGAACCAGCGGCCCGAGTATCCGCGGCAGCATATGGTCGGGCGGCAGCTTCAGGTGCCGGCCGTGCAGAGGCGCCACATGACAGCTCCCGGGGGTCGACGCCCTCCACCGGTGGCGTACCCAGCTGGCGGCAGCGTGACAGGCGGCGGGCACGGCGCACCACCCGCGCACATGAGCCGCCGTCGTCGCCGCCGCCACCGCCACCTGGTGGTTAATCGACGCCCTATACCGGTGGCGCACCAAGCTGGCGGCAGCGTAACAGGCGGCGGGCACGGCGCACCACCCGCGCCCATGAACCGCCGCCGTCGCCGCCGCCACCGCCACCTGGTGGCGCGACCCCGGGACGCCTAGCGGGAGCCGTCCAACTCTGAGGCGGGCATGGCAGAAGAAGACGGTCGCCCGACACCTAGCGGCGCGCGAGCACTTACAAGCGGGGGCAGCAGCTGCAGCTCGGGAGGTCCCGGACTGTGGCGGTGGCACTGGGATAAAGGTACGGCCGCCCAAGAAGGCGGCCATCTATCAAGGTGTCCACCGCCCGCTACAACCGGCCATGGGCAGCAGCGTGCGCCCCCGGCAGTGCATCGCGCGCCGCCGTTCGAGGCGGCCTGTGCAGCGCGGATAGACTCAGGGCGGAAAGGAAGGAGCGGAAGGAACTCGAGGCGATGCGGGCGAGCGGATCAGTGCGGGTCACGGATTGGAGCGGCGAACAATACGGCAAGCGTGTGATGCGATTGGCAGGAGAACGGACACGGACGAACATTGAGAGGGAGCTTGGGGCTGGGCGATCGAGTGTAATGTACTGATGTAAGTTGGATGTATGTGGTATGAATGATTCAGGCAGGATAATTATTGGTACAGATCATAGCGCAAGCTTCACCTGGAGAGTAAGGGGACCCCTTTTTGACCGTTCGAGGGAGGGGGCATTATTATGTAAGGGCAAAATTCATACGTCGGAGAGAAATGGCGGGCCGGAGTACCAGAGTGCGTGTAAGGCCAGTCCGCCGCATGATAGCCTCCGGCGGGAAAGGCGTGCCCGCCGGGTGAAAGGCTGCGGCTGGCCGGCACCTGGGACTCGCGGGCCCGCCTCTCGTGGCATTTGCCAGTGCGGTGTCGTCGGGGCAACATCTTTCGGTAAGCGAACTTTTCCCTCCCCCCTAAATTAACGCCGCAGCGCCCAGGCGCTGCGGAAGTCCCGACAAATGTCCTGGATTTCATTTGGCTTTCCGACCCGCCGCAAATAGCGGTGGGCACTCCCGTTTTATATCCAGGACAGTCCCATCTAAATTATAATTAATCGGCGCGGCGCGTGGCGTATATGAGTGAGCGATTGTAAGTGATGTGTATAGTGTGCGTGAGGAAAATGATCCGAGAGAATGACACTTCGTCCCGCGAGACCCAAAATACAATGTAATGGGAATGTGAGCCAAATCTTTGAATTGGGTAAAGGCAGATGCCGGGCTGATACACGGTGAACGTGAACGAACAATCATACGGGCCGCTTAGTTTAATACACCCGGGTGGCAGGCGGGCATTGTAGAGTAACTTTGATTAACGTAATGTCTGTACATGGGGGGAACCATTAAAAGGTTGCCGGTTCCGATGCTTGAAACCCCTACACCTTCTATCAAGCATCGGACCACTCGCGATGCATATGGGTGCTTCCACTGCACAACTCGCATGCAAAATGAGGCGTAGCGTCAATTTTTTGTACCCGTCACAATAACTCGGCAATTAGGTACTGTCTGTTGCACTGAAATTTGGTATGCGGCCGTGGGTAGGCGATATAGGCATCAGGCCAGGGCCAGGCAATGCTTATGCATTTCCATGTATTCAAAAACTCCTACACCATTGACTTTGCCAATATCGTATTTCATTCGTCACGTGCCGATGAGTGAAATGATTAAAATGTAACATTTAAAAGGTCAACTTGAAAAGGTCAATAAATATCATCACCGGAGAGGAGGAGAGAGAGAGAGGAGAGGAGAGAGAGGAGAGAGAGAGAGAGGAGAGAGAGAGGAGGGAGGAAAAAGAGGAGAGGGGAGAGAGGGGGGAGAGAGAGGAAAGAGAGAGAGAGAGAGAGGAGAGAGAGAGAGAGAGAGAGAGAGAGGAGAGAGAGAGAGAGAGAGAGAGAGAGAGAGAGATAAAATTTAGGGAGAGAGGACTGCCGGATGGGACGAATGTGGACCTCGATCTCTCCATCTCTCTCTCTCTCTCTCTCTCTCTCTCTCTCTCTCTCTCTCTCTCTCTCTCTCTCTCTCCTCTCTCTCTCTCTCTTCTCTCTCTCTCTCTCTCTCTCTCTCTCTCTCTCTCTCTCTCTCTCTCTCTCTCTCTCTCTCTCTTCTTCCTCTTCTCACTCTTCCCATTAGCGGCCTTGCGTCCAAGATTACATTACTTTATTACTCCTTGCGTCTGCCTTCATTCCTTTCTTTTTCCCTTCAAATATGGGCGCATATGGCTTCAAAACATGTTTGCATTTGCAGCGCAAATGTTTCAGTAAAAGTATTCAGAAGGAAAAGCTTATGGTGAACCGAATGCAATCTATCATTACAGTTAGCAAGGCTAAGAAACGTCCGCAAACCACTTGTTCACGTTTTGAACACATTTTAACACTTTCCCGTCGTTTTTGACATATCGTTTTTGATATAGGCTGGGGATTACCTACTGAGGATAACACTTTCCAGACTTGGGTTTCCAGACTGTTTCAAAGCAACTAAGTGTCTCGCGTTGAAAGTTTCCTTGCCTTGGAAATAAGGTAGGTACCTATCGTTTAAATATTATTGGCTTTTTATCTTAAGCATTCAAAATGTAAGCCATTCCACATGTACAATACAAAGAACAGTAACACTGCTGCTTAAAGTTCTTTGCAAGGCTATAGGTTCTTTGTGAGAATGAGTTATTTATGAACCAATTATCGGTTTGTCCCTGAAATTTCAATGGAATATTCTCATTCTTTGGAGGCTAATATCGTTAATAAATATCAATTTATATGCAGACTGTCACTGTGGTTTATGCTTCATATTTCTTTACGAACTGGTCACTGGTGGATCCAGATTCCAGGGTTCATTCGGGGCAAATGCTTCCCCTGTAGCATTGGAAATCGATAAAAATTTATGTCTTTTTAGGGTAAAACTATGTCAAACTTTTATGCAAAAAAGTATTTTAAACTGCACAGTTCGAGCTGTGCACATCATGGAATCAAAGTCTGATGAGTTTTTGGAAATTGGATGATTTGGTGGGGTAATACCCACCCCCCAGCCCCCACAGCACCCAAGACCACCTGTCACTTTTCTGGATCGGCCAGGGGAAGTGGTGAATGATGTTTTCATAGTTGAAACATTGAAGTTGAAATGGGAGCTTGAAATATATGCATGTTTTTCACAGCGCTTGCATATTGCAACCACTCTACTAGTTCAGGCTAGACTAGGTAGGTACTAGGTTGTAACTTCATTTTTCGTAACTAGGCACAGCCAATACCAACTATGTAAATTTGGTTTATTATTATTTTTTGCTTGACTGTTGATTTATGATAAACTAGCAAACAGTTTATTTCAGTTCTCTCCAGCCTTTTTGTTTTTGTTTCAGTGAAATATTTCTTCCAAAGAAAATGAGAGGTCCTGGTTGGCAGCTGTGTAAGCAACTGATTACCAGAAGAGTTCACTCTTCCAGCTTTGCATTAAAGGAAGTAAGTGCTTCTTTATTTCTAAGGATTTCTCTCTTCCACAAACTGGAGTTTAAGATGTGCCATAAACCATCACAGCAATGAATTATACATTAGTTATTGTTAGATTCTGTTGTAAAACTAATGTATTTTCCTGGCCTGATATTGTTTGCGATAGGTAGGTAACTTAGATATTTGATTTTACAAAACCTGAGGCTAGTCGTTATTGAAGAGTTAGGGCGCGCAAAAAAAAGAGACTAGTCACTCTATCTCTTTTAGCATTTGCATCAAATGTTCATTATACATGTGTGCATCCTCCTCTTTTGCTTGTTTGTTTTGCTGCTGAGTTATGCCCTTTTGATCTATGTCAGAGCTACAAGATGAGTTTGAGAGGAAAGAAGTGATGCTTTGGGCCAGGTCGATCACCAACTTCCACTGGGCTTAGCCCATCTTGTTAAAGGAAATAGTTCACTTTCCTGAAATTAGTATTTTGCTATGGATTTATGTTTTTTTATGCTTAAAATGATCAGAAAATAAAACAAAACGTTTTTGTAAAAAGGATTATTTTGTATATTTTAGTATAAGAAGAACTATATTCTATATAAACAATGTTTGACGCGGAAGCTTATTACGCGTTGACCAATCATATTGCGTAGGACAAACCCATCGGCTGTAAGCAGCATTCTGATTGGCTGACGATGACGTGACTGCATTCCTCAGCAAGGCACGCATTCCTCTGCAAGGCACTCTTTTCGGAACGAAAAATGGAATATCTTCGTCTAGGGTGATCGTTGGGCCGTTAAAGCTTCTGATTTGTGCTAGTCTCAGCGCAAGCAACAAAACTGCTATTCCAGTTCCAAACCCCATGTTAAAAGTGAACTATTTCCTTTAAGTGTCCCCTTGAGGCACGCCTCACAGCTATTCAAATAGCGTGAATGGGTCAATATCCATCTCACATTATCCATCTCAGAAATATAAGTCGCATTTCTTAGTCCCCAGATCTTTGGCCTGCATTTATTGCTTATTATTGCTTATAGATTGCTTAGAGCATCTTGCCTGTGTTGTTCTGAGTATGAATAACTCGAAGGACTTTTCGTCAGGACTTTTAAACGATCCGGCTAACTTTAGACCGATCTCGATCGTCCCTTGCATAGCTAAGATCGCCGAACGTATTGTCCATGAGCAGCTGTATCATTTCTTCGAGACATGTCATCTCTTCGCTGAATCACAGCATGGGTTCCGCAGACATCATTCATGCCAGACAGCCCTCGTGTCGGTGAGCGATACCCTACTTAGGGCCATGGACAGTGGTGAAATTGCAATGGTGGTGCTGTTGGATCTATCCAAATGTTTTGATGTGGTTGACCACGGAAAGCTCCTCGAGAAGCTTCACCTTCACGGTGTAGGCACTCACTGGTTCGAAAACTACCTGCGCAACCATCGTCAAAAGGTGTCATTTACCTGTAGACATCGTGGTCATCTGACGTCACAGCCTCGTGAAAATCCCATCGGCGTGTATCAAGGGAGTGCCTCGGGCCATTGCTGTACACGATCTTCTCTAATGATGTCAGCCTCCATGTTGAGAGGGATGTGCATATCACACAGTACGCGGACGATACACAGATCATCGTATCCGGTAGGCGGGCAGACCTGGCTGAGGTTTCGGATAGGCTGGAGCGTGCGGTCTCCACAATGTACCAATGGTTTGGACAGCATGCCATGAAACTGAATGCCGGCAAACTAAACTGATCGTGGTCGGAACGCAACAGATGTTGAAACGCCTGCCACCCGTCTCCATCACTGTTGGGACCACTCGCATAGAGGAGAGTGACACTGTTCGCAATCTTGGAGTGACATTTGATCGGTCTCTGACATTCTCTGCTCACATCGCTGACATTAAAACACGCTGTACGGGACTGCTTGTAGCCCTGTCACACGTCAGGCACAGTCTTCCTGGTGAGCTCGTCAGCACTGTGGTGGAGAGTCTGGTGATTTCGATTGTACGTTATTGCCTTTCTGTGTACGGTAGCGCAAACCAGACAAACATGAGGCAGGTCCAAGCAATCCTTAATTTCTGCGCCAGAGTCATGACAAACCGTCGTAAGTTCGACCATATATCTGACGTGATACAACAAAGCCCTGTACTGAACGCAAACCGTCTAGCCTATTATCACAACGTGACCACACTACACAGTATCATTACAACAGGACAGCCTGTCTGCCTTGCGAATAGTCTTAGTCAGAACATCGAAATCACCGGCAGAAACACGCGTCACTCGGGTGACATCCGCTTACCACCCGTACAGCACAACAGCGGCAAACGACAGTTCTTGTACCGTGCGGTAGCCGACTATAACGCCCTGCCGCCCCAAGTTAGAGCGCGGAACAGAACACGTTTTGCAGCCGCAGTGAAGAGAAACTGTCTCTCTGTCGTGAGTACGTGAACGCTGGATGCCTTGTCGGTGTTAAACTGTAGATATACGTGCGAGAGTGATGTGTTTGTTACAGTAAATATATTGGTCCCTATTTGTTTATACACTGTTCGACAAAGCACAGTAATAGCCAATTGTGTGTCATCCCATCAGATGTGCATGCTTACATTGGAATGTGCTGCTGAGTGAATACAATACAATATCCCTGGCACATTTTTTTTCGAAATGCTATGTGCAAATCTTCGGGGCATATCTTCACATCCCAATTTCTTCGTTCTCTCTGATCTCCGTTTCCGCAACTTTTCGCCTACGCATCGATGTCATCGCACGAGGATCCTGGATCTTTGCCCACGAAAAGTCGTCCTGCCCACTTTTCACCCCTCATCTCTCGTGTATCCCCTAATCGGCCGCCACCAAATATGGCTGGAATACCCTGGAGGACCGCTCCCATGGCTCTCACTGCGACATCATTTGCTCGTAGAACCGCACTCCCAACGAATAGGTAGGTAGGTACATGTCAATTATCGCACCAACGTCGAAACGCTCTCCTCCGGTCACGGCTCACCTAGCTCTGGCCTCTGACCCTTGGCTCTGGCTACTGAGCTGACATCTGTCGAACGTCCAACTAAACAGCCATGCTCATAAATATTAAACGACTGTTGACGTGCATCGGCCCGACAGGAGACTGATTCATCATTCCTAGGGTCGTCAATGCGTGGCGATTGGGTTGGGGTCGGGGATGGGAGGGGGAGATGACCCACACCTGACCTGCAGTTGAGTAAATACCTACCTGTCTAGGTTCTGTTTGAGAGACATTAGCTCGTTACCAGTACTCTGACAGGCAGCCGGTCAGTCTCCCTGACGGTCCTAAGGTAACAGGATGAAAGTACCGCCACTCCCCCAGCCCGCCATGACCTTACGGGCTCTCTCGTTATCCATACGGTGGTCATAAAGTACGCGACCTGTAACTGAATAGGCCGCCGCCCGCAGACCGGTGAACCCGGAAAACGGGACTCCGCCAACGGACCCAGGCCTGCACGAGAGAGTCACTACCATGACAGTCACGTCTCCCCATGAACCACTGACATATACAGAAGCAAACACCATAACTGCAAACACCCTTTGCACGGTCACCGTCCGTCGCGGTCGCGGCCGCCTTTCCCTCAGGTGGAGCTGACCTCGGTCCGCTACCCGGACCTGAAGCGGGGCCCGTTCGGCCGGCTCACCGACAGCGACGTGACGCACTTCCGGCGGCTGCTGGGCGCCGAGCGGGTTATTACTGAGGACCTGGACGGCTACAATACGGACTGGCTGCGCTCCGTGCGAGGTGAGGCGCGGCGCCGCTGCCGGCACCCGCGCGTGGACGGTGACGCGGACGCTGACCCCTGGCGGGCTATAATGTCCAGCTATGAGAGCAAAACAGTGCTGTTTGTGTCACGGTTGGTGGGTGGATTAAAGGGCTGCGGATATTTCTCTGTGGCGGCTTGTTTGTATTGGCAGTAATGTTTCTCTTCCGGACGCGGATTCGCCTGCCACCTACCGACCTTGTCCGGTATTGACAGTACTCAGTCCGGTCACTACGGCCGGCTGTGGTGGATGTGGCCGGCGCCGTGTTGGTGGCTCTTCTGCCATCTGCCGGCAGCGCAGCGCACTGACAGTGCGCTATCTGTCCGCCAGGTGCCAGTCAGCTGGTGCTCCGGCCTCGCTCCACTGAGGAGGTGTCGGCCGTGCTGCGGCACTGCCACGAGCGCCGGCTGGCCGTCTGTCCCCAGGGCGGCAACACGGGACTCGTCGGTGGCAGCGTGCCTGTCTTTGACGAGGTGGTGCTCTCCACCTCGCTGATGAACAAAATCATCGACCTCGACACCAACTCGGGTAAGACTGGGATCTCCCGCGCCACAGGCCTCGTCATACTAGACTGTGGCAGTTCTGCCGTATTTCGGTTCGATATGAACCACTTCAATACACATATACCCAATCATACACGCATTATTTCCTTTCATTTTTAGTTCAGCAATGAATCCAACCTAACCAATCATCTCGTTCAATGTAAATCCACTCATCTTACAAATAAACGTGAGTGAAACCTGAGTGCTCCTATCGTCTCGTCTCGCACTGTTTCTCAAACCCCTCCCCCTCCCCCCGGCTGCGCGTGTTTCTGACCGTCCGTCTCTCGGCCGGTCAGGGGCGCTGGTCTGTGAGGCGGGCTGTGTCCTGGAGACCGCGGACACCTATCTGGCCGAGCGGGGCTTCATGATGCCGCTGGATCTGGGCGCCAAGGGCAGCTGCCAGATCGGCGGCAACGTCTCCACCAACGCCGGGGGCCTGCGCCTGGTGCGCTACGGAGGGCTCCACGGAACGGTGCTCGGACTGGAGGCGGTCAGTGGGAGGGGACACCGGGAGCCGGGACCGGGAGGGTGATATATGGTATAAAGAATGATGGGTTTGTTATAGAAATGTGTTTAGCAATGGTGTAAGGTGCTGATTCTCATTGGATGGTGCTTATGGCAAACGAGAAGTCTCTATCTTTTGGTTTGCTGGATGGGAAGACGTTTGGGCAAATTACATCTACATTTACGTACTTCTTAAGGCTAATTCATTATTGTTACAGCATGGTCCCACCCACTGTATTGCTGGATATCGCTCTTTTCGTCACTGTCCCTCTGCTGTAACATGTGCTCCACCGTCTCAGGTGCTGGCCAACGGTGACGTGCTGGACTGCATGTCCACGATGAAGAAGGACAACACGGGCTACGACCTGAAGCACCTGCTGATCGGCTCGGAGGGAACCCTGGGAGTGGTCACCAAGGTGGCCATTAGCTGCCCGCGCCGACCCGCCTGCGTCAACCTCGTGATGCTCGGTGGGTGCCGCGGGCAGACTCTCGGAACGTGGGTGAGATAGATCGCTGATACATGGTCTAAGCATAGTGCAGGGATGATGGGAGATGGAGTTGAATGGACAGAGCTCGGGCGAGAGGGTAGGACAGGGCCTGGGACGTACGATGCTATACATTGCAGATAAGTCAATGGTCAATAAATGACTCAATTCAGTTAGTAAATGCGTGGTTGTAACGAGTAATCGTGGTTGTAACGACCGCACGGATTGCTGATATTTTTGCCGATACTGTGAACTACCTCACCACCCGTGAAACTGGCATGATACTTGCTGCATCTCTGCAATGTGTCTGACCAGCTACCTTCCCCGCGCCACCCTGCAGCCGTGCGCAGCTTTGAGGACGTTCTCTCTACCTATCAGTTCGCTCAGTCGCAGCTGGGTGAGATTCTGTCCTCGATCGAATTCATGGACGGCGCCTCCCAGGAGTGTGTCGTCAACAATCTGAATGTGAGTGGCCTTCGTGCAAGTTAGAACTAGCAGTTAATGAAAATGAGGCAATGTGTGAGGATGCATGTGTGATACGCTTGTATTGTTTGCTCTCATTTCTACTTACGTTACTCATGACTTACCATACCTTTCCATGAATTAATTCATACAGTGACTGCCAAAGAATCGCGCATAAAGTTACTCGTTAACGTCACCTCTTGATGACGTCACATCGCTGCCTGATGACGTCACATCACCGCCCAATAACGCCATCCCACCACCTGATGTCATAACCGTCCCTGCCGTCTCTCCGGCAGATGTCTCACCCGCTGCCGGGCCACCCGTTCTACATGGTGGTGGAGACGTCCGGCAGCCGAGACACCCACGACGAGGAGAAACTCAGCCTCTTCATGGAGGAGGCCATGCAGCGCGAGCTGGTCACGGACGGCGTGCTGGCGACGGATGTCGGACAGATCAAGGTGCGTTAGTTTAGTGAAGGGGACAGGTCAGGTCAGTGGGTCAGTGGGACAGGTCAGGCCCATTCTGTTCGCTGAGCCTGGTGGGCCTGCGCCCGTCGCTGGGCACGCGTGGGGGCGGCTGGCTGCGCGAGACAATCCGAGACACGGCGGCGGCGGTATAGCAGTGTAGTGATATTGGAGACAGTGGACAGATTAGCTGAGATTTGGCGCCACGAGATAATCCCATGGCTTTTGCGCCAACTCTCCATAATGCAAACTTAATGTACCTCATGCACTTTGCCAATAAACTTCGTGTGTGTGGGGGGGGGGGGGTCACTGACAGATCGGAGTGGGTCACTGCGACCTACGGGTCAGGCTGGGTCACTGACAGACCGGGGTGGGCTACAGCGGCTGAGAGGTCAGCGTGGGTCAGCGAAGCGGCGGCGCTGTTCAGAGAAAGACAGTCTGCTGACCTGAGTGTGTCCCGCCTCCCTACTCTGTGACCGTGACAGAGTGTGCCTTTCCCCAGTTTTTGTGGCTAGTCTGACCGTGTGCTCTCCTGCAGTCTCTGTGGCCCCGATATTGACCCCCCCCCCTCCAGTCTCTGTGACCCCGGCATTGACCCCCCCCCCCCTCCCAGTCTCTGTGGCCCCGACATTGACCCCCCCCCCCCAGTCTCTGTGGCCCTGACATTGACCCCTCCCCCCTCCCAGTCTCTGTGGCCCCGACATTGACCCCCCTCCCAGTCTCTGTGACCCCGACATTGACCCCCCCCCCCCTCCCAGTCTCTGGTGGCCCCGACATTAATCCCCCCTCCCAGTCTCTGTGGCCCCGACATTGACCCCCGCCCCTCCCAGTCTCGTGACCCCGACATTGACCCCCCTCCCCCAGTCTCTGTGGCCCCGACATTGACCCCCCTCCCCCCAGTCTCTGTGGCCCCGACACTGACCCTCCCCCTCCCCCTCCAGTCTTTGTGGCAGTTCAGAGAGCGGATCGCTGAGGCTCTGCTGGGGGACGGCTACTGCTTCAAGTACGACATCTCCCTGCCGTTGAACGCCTTCTACGAGGTGGTGCTGGAGATGCGCCGCAAACTGGGAGACAGCGTCGTCACCTGCTGTGGATACGGACACATCGGTGAGTACAGAGAAAGTACGGACTCATAATCAGGAGTGCGCAGACTTACGTCGGTGAGTGCTGGGTGTGTGTACACTGGACCCGTCGGTGGCTTCTGAGAGTGCATGGCTATCTGCCGAGCGCTTCCTCACGCTAACTGATTGGTCAGTGAGGATCTGCGCCACCCAGACGAGGAGTGGCCTCGACATAGGTAGCATGTGACATGTGCAGGCGCCAGGCAGAGATGAGATGTTACGGGTGGTGGTTATGGGTTGGAGGTGCACGTAGATAGTTACCATCATAAATTTAAACTCGAAGATCGGAGAACGTAACGTGACAGTTTAAAGCTCGGACGTCAGATGGCATTACTGTCGTGGACAATCATAGAGCTTCGCTCTGTGGTCGATTTGACCAGTTGTTGTTGTTGTTGTTGGTCTCCCCGGGTCGGCTCACGGCCGACCGTAGCCCAACGGCTCTTGGTGACTGAGGTAGCCGCGGCTCAAGGCCGCCACGGCCCCGCCGTCCCGAAGCTGCGTAGGGTCCGGTCTGATATTGCCGAGTAGGCGGAGCCTCGCGCCAGCCAAGCACGGGCACCTCAGCAGCACGTGCTCCGGCGTGTCTGGGCCCTCGCGACACACCAGGCAGCGCGCCGCCGGGCAGGCCAGATCACTGCACTGTGGGCAGTCGCGCTCGGGGCGGCGTCCGATTCTGTGAAGGTAGCTCTGCGAGCGGCTCCAGTGTCCCGCCCGCAGCTGGTGGACGTTGACCGCCTCGTCGCGAGACTCCAGAAGCACCGGCATCGGCATCCGGTCTCCCATGATGGTTTTGAAGAAGCTGTCTGGCCAGCTGCGACGCCATGCCTTGGTGGCGGAGCGGCCGACTGCCTTCACCATCGAGCGGACGTCCGTTGGGACGGCGTCTTGCGACAGGCTGGATGCCTCTTTAGCCAGCACGTCCGCTCTCTCGTTGCCGGGTATTCCGCAGTGCGCTGGGATCCACTGCATGAAGACTCGGCGTCCTCCGTCCGTGAGCGCCAGGAGCAGTCGCCATACGGCGGCGCCGAGTGCTGTCGCCTGGCTCCCAGCCCCACTCGCCAGTGTGGCGAGCGCCGCCTGCGAGTCGGCGCAGACGATGACCGGGCTCTCCGCCAGGCCGCCCTCCAGCCGCAGCAGCATCTCCAGTGCCCCGCGGATCGCCACCAATTCGGCGCGGGTGCTGCTGCATATCCTGCCCGCAGGGGCTCGGAGCTCGTGTTCCTCGCCTGAGGGGAGGATTATCAGCGCTCCACTCCCTCCGGCTGAGACACCTCCCTCCGCCGAGCCGTCGCTCCACACCCATACGGCGTCGTCTGGGAGGGTGGCCAGATGCTCCTCCACTCTCTCCCGCCGGACGTCGGGTGGTGCTGTGCGGCTGATGTGGTTGCCGATGTCAAGTCTGAACTGGACCCTGGTGTCATCGATCCACGGTGGGATGGTGACGTGCAGGCGCTCCTCCACAGGTACATCTCGCACGCCCGCGCTCACCAGGGCGCGCGCTCCCGTGTCGCGCCAGCCGGTGGTGGTGCGGAGCCGCCGTGGGGCCGTTGCTTCGGCCACCGCGCGCAGTGGGTCGCCGCTTCTTTGTGAGGCTGCCAGACAGCTCAGTCTGGCAGCGAGCAGGTCCCGGCGTGCTCTCACGGGAACCAGACCGGCTTCCGCGAGGAGCGGGTCCCTCGGCGTGCTCACGGGGCACCCGGTGATAACGCGGGCTGCGGCGCGCATCTCAATCTCCAGTAGCTCTACGTGGGACTCGGACGCTGCAGGGAGCCATGCAGCCGCCGCGTATTCCAGGGCACCGCGGATGTAGCCGTTGGCTACTACTCGCAGCTGTGGCTCCCGCAGACCCCAGGAACGCCCGGTCATCTTACGGAGCTGTGCGATCCTCGGCTTGGTCTTCTTCCGGACGCGCGCGCAGTGCTCGCCCATGTGAAGTTGCCGGTCCAGGGTTACACCGAGAAGGTGAAGGTGTCTCCCAGCGTCCACTCGTGCCCCGTCTACGTGGATGTACAGGTCCCGGGCGTCGACGTAGTGCTGCGACAGGGCTAAAACTTGCGTCTTGCTTCCTGCCAGCCGCATCTTCCAGTCGCGGGCCCATTTCGCTATGGCATCCGCCGCTTGTTGAGCCCGGTCCCTGGCTTCCGCTATCGTACCGCCGGAACACAGTGTTGCGGTGTCATCGGCGTACAGGAAGACAGAGGTGCCCGGAATCCGCTTCAGCGCCGCCACGAGGTCCGCCGACCACAGCGTGAACAGGGTCGGTGCGAGGACGGACCCCTGCGGCAGGCCAGCTCGGAATGGGCGGTTCCGGCTCCGTGACCCATTGACCTCCGCGCCAAATCCATCCATTTGTTTGACCAGTTCGAACAAATGATCGTTCTGTCCCACTCATGCCTACCTTTGGACGATGAATAGTGGAACAGGTGTCACGTAAGTGACGTAACAGTCTCCTAACATCCTTTAGGTGATTTGTGGTGTTCAGCTAGAGAATGTGCTTTATGGTAGTTTGTTGTAGCATTCAGCAATTTTTAATGTCATTTATTTTACAGCTTTATCCCTATAAGGCTCGCGTCCTTATCCTACGAGAAGCATGCAACCGGGATTACGCTATGGTCATGGTCTTTGGTTGTCTGCCTTATCATGACACGCTGCATGAACCAAACGCATCATGCTTGTCTGTGTTGGTTTTATATAATTTACAAAATTGCATAAATACAAAAAAGTTGGCATTTGAGCCGAGCGAGATCCCGAGCGTCTGCTGCAAAGAGAGCCGGTAAGTGGTCCTGTTCTTATCCTCTCAACCGTCAAGCGGGTCCATTTATTCTGGTTACCTTGCCCCTACATCTTGATTCATGTTTTGCTTTATAAGTTGTATGTTGTCCGACCTTCCCTCAATGCATAATTAATACAAGTGCAATCAAGCAATTAAGATCAGGGGCAGCTCATACACCAAAGTATTTCTGACATAAAATTGCGTGGATTGGTGTCATTTTGGTGCACTTCAATGATCAATCGCTCCTCACCGATAGCGTCGCACCTTCTCTCTGTTGTTGTGTTCCGTCAATATTACTCTGATTTCCAGACAGCTCATCTCCCTTTCCATCAGTGCCACTGCACTTCGTGACATTTACTGCAACACCGTGACCAAATATCATTCATAATTTCAACCATTGTCACCCTGCGCACCCCACTCTAATCACGAAACCCTCTGTCTGCAGGCGACGGTAACATACACCTGAACATGACGACGCGTGATTTTGACGCCGCCGTCCTGTCCAAGATCGAGCCGAGCCTGTACGAGTGGACGGCACAGCACGGCGGATCCATCTCGGCGGAGCACGGTCTCGGGCTCAAGAAGCGCAACTTCATCGGGTACTCCAAGTCGCCCAGCGCTGTGGCGCTCATGCAGCAGCTGAAGGCCATGCTGGACCCGCACGGCATTCTCAACCCGCACAAGGTGCTGCCCGACAACTGAGAAGAGAGCGGAAATCAAAAGAAGTGAGGGGATCCTGGGTTTTGCTCAGTAGATAGCAGGGGTGGACGAGGGACTGGTGTTATGTGTCATGCCTCTTTCCATAGGGGTAGAGTTTGAGTGGAGAGAGTGGTTGGTGGATGAGGCGAGTGGTAAATCAGGATGTCAGTACCTGGTTCGGTGGGATAACACGAGAAGCTAGGGTAGCTGGGGTAGTGAGGGGGCCGTGACGATGACTCAGTGAATCGTGCTCTGTACCAAAAGGGGTAAGAATGGTAAATTTTTGGCTGTTTTTTTTTTCTTGGGTAGGTATAGTTTTGGCTTATTGGGGGTATTTACTAAGATTTAATAAAGATTGGAAGGTAGATGGTATGAGACGGGAAGTGAAAAAGTGCTGTTTGTATGGGATGATAAGGTTGCCTTTAGTGAGGAGTAAGTGCAATTCGTGATAAATGATAATGCTTGTCTGTTCTGAACAGACAGTCGCTTTCTAACCGAGCTCGGTGGCTTGTGAATGATTGCTGCATACTTACGCTTCCGCAGGCTGAGTTTAACTCCTGTGTCTGCGAATGAGTTGCATTCCTTACTTTGGTGTTTGAAACGCGCCCGCTGATGCCTGGGTGAACGGAAATATCTGGTCACCATTTTTGGAGCTAAAGCTACTGTGCTTCGTTACAATAATTGCTGGAATGTTAAATATTGTTTGGTAAGCATAATATTTCTGTTTGACTGATTTCATCTGCCTGTCTCTCCTGAATAGTTTGGTGCATCACGTTTATGTGAAATTTTCCTCGAATGGGTTAGCTGCAGTGAGTAATATTTCAGGGAAGTACCTACCTGAGTCGCTCCGTTACGGGTTAAATTGTGTGCTGCAATAATGGCTCAGCGGTGGATAGGTGGCTGTAGAGGAAGGACTGTTGCGCTGTGAAGCGGCGGTGACGGCCGCTCCGTCACGGTCCTGTGTTATAACAGACTGTCAGACCGTCACGTCTCATCGGTCTGGCGTTGGTGTGCTCGGCGATCGGCCCGGTTAACCCATCGGAGCGTCTCGCCCGGCCGGCCGGGGTGATAGGTTTATAATGGCATCTGGCGCGCGCGCCCGCTGCTTCCGCTTTCTCCCCCGTCCCTGGCCACTTTCGGTTTCGTTCGTCCGTCGGGAAGCGGCTTTGCCAACTGCGCATGGCCGGTGGACGCGGCAGGTGTTTTGCCTACCGGACGCAGACAGGAAATGTGCAATGTTGACTTGTACGATACGGTTTCGAAACGCACACCCGTTTTGTAAAATGTACGACTAACTGTTGTTTGGTGATGGTATGACCTTCAATAAAAGGCTTCAATTGACATCTTTCCAAATAGGAAGGTGAATCGCTTTGTGCAATGCTCGTTCCCTGAGAAGATAATATTTTGTACCACTTCAAGCGTAATGAAGGTGTGCAGAGCTCGTATAAATTACCAGTATCCATGTATGCACGCAGCAGCAACTGCGATGAATTGTGATGTCCTGTGAGACTTAGCGGTCTACCAATACAGGATTAATGATGGCTGTTTTTTACCGATGGTAACGCAGCGATAAATGAGCGGGCGCTAATGGTATCGGACCATCGCGGAGCACGGTCGGCGTTTCTCCAATTTCATTATTTAAGTGTGTCGGCCGTCTCGTCAGGTGAAGAGTAATTGAGACGGTTTTGGATGTTTTGTGGGCTTAGTAAGCGAAGGAATTGGCAGCGGTGGCGTGGATTTGCCATGCTGGACCATCTTGGGTGATGCTGTTCCTTTTGCATTACCTTCCTCATTTTACTATATCCTTCTCCGCTTGCCTCTGACGTTTTAACTGTTCGTGGGGAACCTCAAATTCGGCTGGCGCAGCGACACGCTCCTATAGTTTGTAACATAACGCTGATGCAAAGCGTCTACTCCGCTGCCTTTCATACCGAATCTTAGCTGCCTTCGTGTCTTATATTCCGGATCCGCTCTGTGTAAAATATCAGACGGCCAGTGGAAAGTGAAAGGGTTCGCTCCTCTGTTAACTGCCGTCTGTCTGTCTGTCTGGGGTTAGCGGCACGCAGTGCGCACCGCCTCGGTCGGCTGGTGGAGAGCTGACTGTCCCGCGCCGGGCACTGAACACGGCCGGTCCGGACTACTGAGCACTGGCTCGGGGGATTGATCCGCTTAGGTGGTGAAATGTGTGTTCCATCTACCACCTCCCTGCCAAAATAACCTTTACCTCCCCGAAATTGAAAGGCCTATGAAAAATAGCCTTTATGGGCAAGATAGTTTATTTTCATCGGCATCTAGGTACTTATTTCTCATCTCCTTCTCAATATCTTTTTACTTATTCACACAGAGACAGAGCTTTCAGACTTCACTTACCTACCTATATTGCGATCATTGTTGTAACTGTGTGATCAGAGGTGATCGGAGTGTTGTATTCACTTATCCAAGGTGATAGCCGATAGGTAAATGCAACTCTGTGCGGTTGTTAGCGGGAATCGGAACCGATGACACTTGAGCCAACGACTCGCCGGCGCGGGGTTGAGAATATCCACTGAGGAAGAAGGGAGCCGTTTGTCTTCGGTGCTCTCGGATTTAGAGAAAGCGGTAGGTGGAACGGAACAATAGCAATGGGTTCGGTGAGACCGGCATGAACAAATTATGGTGCATGAACTTCGATTTATCACTTGATTGCTACAACTTACACCAACTATGGAGCTATTAATGTCCCCAGCCTGCAATCCTCTTTGTAACTTGATATTGGTCTGCGATGCTGGAGCTGTCAAAGTCGTATCTATCGATTTATTGGTACCTACACTGAAGTTTTCTTCACTCTGAACCACTAGGCCGTGGCCTGTGACGAACTTTTCACATTTGCTGACAGTTTCTTTCGGTGACGCAATCTATGACATCTTGCAATGTTTTTAGGGGCTTAGACTCCAAAATAATCAATTGGAGAAAACTGCAAAGCCTATTCATAGGGTTCTGTAGTGAAGGATAAAAGGGAAATGAGGTAGAGCGGAGAGAGAGAGAGGGGGGAGAGCTCGCGCCTGATGATCGCCGCCGGGTCTGCCCGCCCGGGGGCAGTTTATGCCGGTACTACCGGGAACATCTTGCGGCACCAGGTGGTCGACGACCGACTGTCCGCTCGCCGGTGACTGCCAACCGTGCAGCAGGCACCAGATGGTCGGCGATCGTGCCGCGCGCGCCGCGAATGACGCCGAAACTCGGCACCAACAGCGCCAATCGCTCCCGACGGACCCGGCGAAACCGACCGGCGCGACGGGGAGGTTTGATGCGCGACGGGGTGCGTCGGAGTCGCCGGGGCGCGCTGGTGTCGCCGCCCTGCTGATGGGCTGTGGTATTTGAGATAGGGAAGGGCCGCGGCGGGCGGGACTGGCGCCACGAGTCGACAGTCGCTAATTCCTAGTGCTACTCGAGACCTGACCGACCGCGATCGCTGGGGCGGAACCGACCGAGTTTCCCCGTCACCGTGATTTATCCACCCGGTTTGGGCAGACGACGAAAAAACACTGCGGGAGGGACGTAACTGGGGCTCGGTGGTGGGACAGGTCACGACTCCCGGTGTCTGTTCACGCTTCCCGCCCACTGCGCAGTGTGAGCCCGTGGCCCGTGACCCCCGCCGGCAGTCCGGAGCGCCGCGTCCGCCCCCGGCGCGCTCCGCCCGGGTGGTTCGAGTGGAGGGTGACTAGTCGTTATCGGATAATGGGCCCGCGATATGCGTGTAGTTAGAGATCAATGAAACGGTCACTCGCTCAGAGTAATGTGCGGTAAATGGTCGTTAAATGGCCGTGCTTCGATTGCATTCCTCAATGAACGGTAAAATGATGGGATTACTGTTGCATTAGTGTATGTCGTCAATGTTCTGGGCTACGTATTACATTTAGACCCGCCTCCCCTGAGCTCTTGCTACGCAAGCGGAAGACGTTTGGTCCATTGGATTAAATGGCCTTTTAACGGCTGATCAGTTTTAACCAAAGTTTATCTTTTCTTCGCATGAGAAAGCTATGATTGGACATTATATTAACAAATTCATCCTTTCCGCTGTGAAATTTTGTTCCGAGTAGGTACATTTTAGAAATTCTTTTGGCCAATAGAAGTAAAATGTGTTTGTTTATCCCGACAAGTTTGTTTACACCACACCACGAACCCTTTTTATCCTAATTTCCTGTCCCCCTTTGTTCACAAGTGTGCGGTGCTCTGACCTGTTTACTCTCTGTTGGGCGTTTCACCCCATGGTTTCACCGAGCCCCGATAGTGATGACCGCGTCGTCATAGCACACCGCACAGTGGGTCGTTACCGTTACAAACTCGCCAACTCCGCCCGACTACGGAAAACGGCCGGCAATAACGCTGCCACTGGGCCTCAACGGCCTCTTATCGGTTGCACCGGTTTACCGAATGGCCGTTTTTGCGCTCGAGTGACGCCTGAGGCGGTCGGATTATGCTTTTTGTGGTGTTTGAACTGTAAGTGGTCCAGTACCGGGCTGTGGGCAGTGACCAGGGCGCGAAGGCTAGTGATTTGTTTTGGTCGGGTATCGAGGTGGATGGTATAGATACGGAATGCGGATGCTGCTTGGGCCATCGAGTGATCTGCCTCAAACACTTCTTGGGTAGATAATAGATTGAGCTTGCATTTTAGATGGGATTTAGGAACGTTGCACCACATTCTACGCAATGAATTCGGGACAACTTGTCGTTTACCTTTGGGATTCTTTTTAGCCGAGGCTCGTGTCTTTCAGGCCATTGCTCGTTCGCCCCGACGACTACATAGTCAAATGCTATCACAGTCATCCCTGCTCGTTAGGCGTGGAATGACAGCGGTACCTATGTTAGAAGTCGACCACGGATATGATCGGCTGTGCGAGCGCTTCCCGGCACTTGCTCCGTTAGTTTTGCATTTTAGCATTTATTAGGTACTCTAGGTTGTTTTGGAAGTTATTTTGTTAACTATATAATATATATTTGATGTCCAATGTCCATACCTATATCTATTGAACTTGAACTTGACGGTTTTGAGGAATTGCCTTTGCAACGGCTCCTCCTTTTCTTTTTAAACTTTAACTTAAACTATCGCGCTATGAGTTGGTACGGGGTGCTTAACAAGTATTGAGCTCTTTTTGCCTTTTAGTTCTTAGGGTCCACATGCTGTACAAAATCTGTTTCTTTTCTTCCATATTCCTTCTTTCCTTATCAAATAGAAATCTCATTATAACTTCTTCTTTGTCTTCCAAGTATGGCTGTTGTAATTCACGATGATTCACCCTAACTTCATTTAATATTGGACATTCTAGCAAAAAATGATTAATATCTTCATTTTCCGCTTCACACAAGGCACAGTTCGTTCTTTCTTTTGTAAACTTCTTCCTTGCGTTCAGAGGGAGAGTATCCGTCCTCGCTTGAAAGAGGATTCTTGATTGCGGGGTGCTGTCATAAACATCATCCTCTTTTATCTTCAGCTTCCATCTCTTATATACCTTCAAACTTGTTTTAGTCTCTACTTCCTCTTTCCATCTTTTATCGTCCCAACTAATCATCTTCTTATTTAGTTCTTCTTTCTTCATGTTTCTAAGGTCGCCTTGGTTTAGATTTAGGGTTTCTAAGTCTGTGATAATCATCCTCGCCCATTTCGTACCCGTTTCTTCTAATTGAGTTTCTATCACTTCCTTCAATAGTTGGTTATTTCCTTGTAGAGTGCTTCTAACATACTGTAGATGTCCTTTGATTACTCTTGTTTTCATCGCCGAAGCTCCAATTTCACCTCGGAGGGCACAGTTGGCTGTGTATTTCGGTGCACCAAGTATCTGCCGATGCCGATCTATGCCGCCGATCTATGTAGCTGGCTTTATTTCGTCGTGACCATACTAAACGGCTCCATTTTACGTCGCGGACTTCGGATGACACCAGAAGTTTGTGGAAACTCAAATTCCTTGTTCTCCATCAGCCGTATGCTGGCCTGCTCAGCCTAGCGTGGCGGTTCTCCATGACCAGACAGCACGAGTCGAATGACAGCGCATCACTGAGCTGAAAACACGGAGAAAACACGGCTGGTACGCGGCGACTGCAACCTGACATTCACGATCTACAGAGGTGTGCAGAGGGAGAAACTGCGGGTCTGGTGACTGACAGCTCCTCGGCCGCTCACGGGTGCTTTCCAAGACTTCCATCGGCCGTCTGCCGCTTCAGCGGTGATGTAACTACGAACTAATAGCGGCGTGATTATGACGGATAGCTTCCCTGAGTCATGCAATAGCAGCAGGTGAAGAGCCATTTCACGATTTGTGCCAGAGTGATGTTATGCAACGGGAGAGTGGACGGCACGTTTTAGATGGGTATTGAGCGGTGTTATACTTGACGCGTGCGATGACTGGTAGATAATGGTCACTTTTTGGTGAATGCCGTGGAAGTGGGCAGCGAATGCGCTGAATTTATATAAATGCTTAAGAGAGTAAGCTTAACCTAGAAATATGTAGACATCGATCTGCGTAAACACTCGGCGCATGTTGCAATGCTGATCAAAACAATTTAG